TGCAAAGCTGGCCCACTACCAGGCCCCTCTCTCTTTCTGCCCATCTCAAGGCAGGGCAGTGGGACGGGGGCTGAAAATTCCCTGGAGGAAGTTTGGGACCCTGGGAATCTGGGAGGGGCTGGGAAAAGGGGTCCAGAACTGAGAGGCAGGAGGCTGCCCCAACCCCAGCTGTTGAGCCTGCTTTGTGACCTGAGGCAGGTTGAGGCCCCTCTCTGGGCCTCCTGGCTTCTGGAGGGCCCTGGAGGAAGTGACTATCCCATTCCCTTAGAAAGGAAGTAATGGGCATAGAGCACTGAGCAGGGTGCCTTGTACACAGTGAGTGCTCAGGAAGAGTCAATCATTATCATTACTTTTATTATTTTTATTTGCAAAAAATTTACGAGGGGCTGGAATGCTTTCTCAAACAGCTTCTCTCCACCCCCAACACCCCACCATCCTATCAGACACGGGCAGACTGGGTGATGTTACCTGAGAGAGAAACCCATTGCCCCTCTCCCCCACCAACTGAAAACTTCCCACCCCAGCAGTCTCCATCTAGCTAGGGTGTTCTGGAAAAAAGCACAGACTTTGGAGGGTTAAAAAACCTGGCTTCTCCCCCAGTGACCTTGGGCAAATCCTCTCGCCTCTCTGGACCTCTGGGCTTAGCACACCCTGAGGGGAGACTCAATGGAAGCAGTGGTACTGGCAGTGGTACTTAGCAGAAATGCCGGCCCTCACCCCAAGGGGCCAGTTGGCTGAGACCGCGTCTGTAGAGCACCCAGCACCTTAGTCTTCGTAAAGTCCCTTCCCACCATTCCTCTGGGTACAAGATTTTTCATTTTTAATGGATTGTGGACCTTCCATCTAAAGTATCAAGACTCTTAGGCAGAGAACACCAAAAGTCATCCTCAGGTGATATGTGCGTGCTGTCTCCAAAGTGTTTCTGAGCCTTCCCCAGGTGGCAGGGGTGCCTCTATTCCCTAGCCCTCAAATGGGGGATTCAAGCCCAGAGAGGCCGTGTGACTTGCCCCTGATCGCCCAGCTAGGATATGAGTAAAAGAACCAGAATGAGAGCCAGGTCTCTGCTCTCTGGGTCCCTGGCCATTCCTGCCTCTACGGTGACCCAAGCGAGAGCCCTGTCTCTGTCAGATGGGGGACAAGTAGCTCAGCCATCTTTGGTCACCTGTGGAGCAGAGGAAAGCAGCTAAAACCCATCAGGGTTCCATGCACAGGGTCAGAGCACAACGTAGTGTCCTAAAGGATTCTCCAGGGTCGAGGCCCAGGGCGGTGAGGTGGTTTGCCCAAGATCATAGAGCAGCTGGAGACACCCATGTGTGTCTCCTTCTACTCCTGGTAGATGAGAAGGATGTCACCAGGAAGTGTAGGGATTATAATGGTAATAATAATAGCAGCTCGGCAGTCTATTGTGCGCCAAGCATTGTACTAAGCCCTTCATATGCATTAATTCATTCAATGCTTTTACAGGCTCCCTTACACATGTGTGGCACAAAAAGCTTAAATAACCAGCCAAGGTCACATAGACAAGGAGAGGTCCTGGGTGGCTGTGGTGGAGGGACAGGAAAATGGGCATAACTGAGGATCTAATTCAGAAAGGGCCGTGTTGGGGCGCATGGGTGGCTCAGTTGGTTAAGCGCCGACTTCAGCTCAGGTCATGATCTCGCGGTTTGTGGGTTCGAGCCCCGCGTCGGGCTCTGTGCTGACACCCAGCTCAGAGCCTGGAGCCTGTTTCGGATTCTGTGTCTCCCTCTCTCTCTGACCCTCCCCTGCTCATGCTCATTCTCTCTCAGAAATAAATAAAACATTAAAAAAAAAAAAAAAAGATCAGAAAGGGTCACAATGCAGAATGGGTCTTTAAAGCATCCCAGTCCTTCTTCTTCCGTACAGACCAAGTCCAGAGAGGTGAAGTAACTAACCTGGCCAAGGTCACAAAGCAAGTTAGAACCACCTCTTCCTAATATGGCCATGAAAACTCTCTTGCGAGCCCACGACTCTAGCCCACCCCCACCCCCACAACCCATGGGGAGCTTCACAGCTGCTGGAAATCCGGTCTGGTCGGCAATGCCTGTCCTGAAGGCAATTCTGCATCCATCTCTAGGCTGACAGCAGCCTTTGTTTACGGCGCCCCTACTTCTATGTAAAGAGCCCCCCAGCGACAGGAATAATTGCTGCAGTGCTACAGGCTGCCACCAGAGGGCACCACAGGCAGGGAGCCCAATTTGAGTAAGGACTCCCGCTACCCACCAAAAGTTCTCTCACCACAACACGAAGCAGAATGACACATTCTGAGGAAACAGAGGTCCAGAGAGGAAATTGGAGATATGTCTCAGCAGATGCCAACAACACTGCAGCACAGACCCGTTTCTTTACTCGCAGACTCCCTACTGCCACTGTCTGCAGGCTTCCACCATCCCCCATTTTACAGCTGGGGAAACGGAGGCACAGGGAGGCCAAGCAGTTTGTCCAAGGTCACACAGCTGGGAGCGGTGCAGTCAGAACTCGATCCAGGCAGGGCGGTGCCAAGGTTGTGCTCTTAACCAGTATGCCATCCTTATTCAATAACAGGACGCGCGCTGGCCACGTGATCAGTGATCCCCTGACACACGGATCCTATACTATCTATCCCCTGAGGCAGGTGCATGACTTGCTCAAGGTCATCCAGAATCGGTGCCAGGGATCAAGTTGTCCGAAGACCAAGCAGACAGCTGAGGTGGGGAGTGAGGTTGGCCTGGCAAATCTTTATTGCCACGTATCACCCATTTCACAAGTGCTCGTGGAGCGCCCCACTAGGTGGGGCACTGGGGATGGGAGGTGAACCACCCAGCCCAGCCGTAGCCCCTTCCTCAGGGGCCTCTGGGCATGTGGAAAACAAGTGAGCAACGAAAACAAGTGGGCTCCGATCCTTGCTCCACCCCTATGCGAGCACCATTACCGCTCCAGACTTGAGTTTCTTTACCTGTAGTGAAAGCGTTTCTGTGATGATTCAGTCAGGTGATGGCATGTAGTAGGTGCTCAATAAATATTTGCTACTATTATCACTATTCTCAGGAGTCACAGTGGGAACACCAAAGAGGAGGTCTGGGAGTGCCAGGCAGGCATTTAACTCAGTCTGAAACAATCCTCCCTGAACGGTTTGGGGCCTGATTCCTGGAGGGGGAGGTGAGAGAGCCCTTGGACCAAAGGCAGACAGGAGGGGAGGAATGCGGTGCTGAGGGGCTGGGCAACCCTCGTTCCCCAATTAAAAAAACTGCCAGCCCCACCACTGTTTCTACAACCCCAGCCCCTCCCTAGTGAGTCATCCACCCCCACAATCCCCAATCCCTCTGTGTGCAGACGGTCTTGTGCCAACAGCTGAAGGGAAAGGGGAGAGAGAGAGAGAGAGAGAGAGAGCATGCCCTTGTCTTCGGGGCTGGGGGACAGTCTGCAGAGACTTTACTCTGTCACCATCCAGAATTCCAGATGAGAGGAAAGGGTACAGAGGCTGGGTCAGGCAGGCTGTTTCAAGTAAGGAAAAGCTCTGAGCCAGGTCCCTGCTGACAAAGATCTCTTCCACCTGCTTTCTTGAGTAGGGGAGGCTGGAGGTGGAGAATGGCTCTCAAGGTCAGAAGGAGGGTCAAACCTCCTGCTTTGCCACTCCCCAGCTTGAAACCTCAGAAAGGGGCCTAACCTTCATTGTTCTCCCAGAATCGGAAGACAATGGAAACACTTTGTGTTTGGTGCCCGGTTGGTGAGTTTTGCGCACATCTGCCAGACATTCTCCTGAGAGCCCAGACCCCTGGTCTGAGGAGGATGCCAAGGCCATGCTGGGCCCCGGGAAGGTGGCCCCCGCACTTGAGAAGCCTCTTGTGGAATCCCCTGGGAGAATCTCAGCTGCCTACCCACCAATCACACAAATCCAAGGTAGACAGGATTTCTGGTACAAGTCCAAAGAGGAGAGGAGGAGAGGGGAAAGTGAATTCTCACAAGAAGACTCCAGAATGCTTCTAGTGAAGCTGGGCGCAAAACAGGCTCAGGAGGGAGCAAGTACGAGAAAGTCCCATTCCTGAAGCACCTAGTGCCTGCCACACACTTGACCTCTTAAGTCCTCTGGCGCCCCTGGGAGATGGGCCTAACAGGGCTGTAATTCATTTATGCAACATCTATTCATGGCACACCTTTTTTTTTTTTTTTTTTAAGCCAGGCACATGCTGGGCACACAAAATCCAAGCCCTCAGAAGCTCACAGTCTGGTGGGGGAGGCAGACAATTAAATAACCTTCAGTGAAGTCACTTATTCAAGCAAGTAAAAAGCATAATTATAATCGCTAACATTTATATAGCAATTACTGTGTCCTTCTTCTCTCCCTCTCTCCGTATTTCCTTACACGGAAAACGGGGATGATAACGGTACCACTTTGGAGAGCCTGGAAGCACTGAATGAGTTAACATGTATAGAGCAGGGCCCGTGCACGCTTCAAACGCGCTTCTTTTCATCACTTAACTCTGCCCTTCCAAAGACCCTGAGAGGGAGTGCCCAATATAAGCTCCATTTTGTAGATGAGGAAACAGGTTCAGAGAAGGTACGGCACGGGAACGGCAGAACGCTGTTAGATAAAGACAGCATTGGTCTTTCTTTGGCCGTCAACCTGCTAAGGTCTGAATCTAGGCTCCATCACTTACTAGCTCGGAGGCTCTTTACGTCTCTATCTGTAAAGTGGGTGCGAAAAAACTGTAAGGCCTTCACTGCGTGGTTGTGAGCACGTAAGACGGTAGTGCACACACAGCCAGGGGAACCATGACGGGCACCGTGCTCCAACAGGATGGCGTAGGGCGTTCGTTCCATCGTGGCCCGGATCGGAAGGATGTGAACACGGGCAGCGCGGAGGTGCTGGACAGCGACCACCGTCTTCCGAGCGCCAACAGTTCCCAAGGGCGAGTCCGGGACGCCGCGCTCGGAGGGCGCGGGACGTGGCCTGTCCCCCGCGGCGCCTCACCTACGTCCCCGCTCCCTTCCCGCCCCTGCAGGTTACGCCCCGCACTGCCTGCCCCCCAGCAGCTACGATGCGGACCAGAAGCCCGGCCTGGAGCTGGCGCCCGCCGAGCCCGCCTACCCGCCGGCGGCGCCGGAGGAGTACAGCGACCCCGAGAGCCCGCAGTCCAGCCTGTCGGCGCGCTACTTCCGCGGGGAGGCGGCCGTGACCGACAGCTACTCCATGGACGCCTTCTTCATCTCGGACGGGCGCTCGCGGCGGCGGCGCGGCGGGGCCGGCGGCGGCGGGGACGCGGGCGGCGCGGGGGACGCCGGGAGCGCCGGGGGGCGCGCGGGGCGCGCGGGGGCGCCGGCGGGCGGCGGGCACCGGCACGCGTGCGCCGAGTGCGGCAAGACGTACGCCACGTCGTCGAACCTGAGCCGCCACAAGCAGACGCACCGCAGCCTGGACAGCCAGCTGGCGCGCAAGTGCCCGACGTGCGGCAAGGCGTACGTGTCCATGCCGGCCCTGGCCATGCACGTGCTCACGCACAACCTACGCCACAAGTGCGGCGTGTGCGGCAAGGCCTTCTCGCGGCCCTGGCTGCTGCAGGGCCACATGCGCTCGCACACCGGCGAGAAGCCGTTCGGCTGCGCGCACTGTGGCAAGGCCTTCGCCGACCGCTCCAACTTGCGCGCGCACATGCAGACGCACTCGGCCTTCAAGCACTACCGCTGCCGCCAGTGCGACAAGAGCTTCGCGCTCAAGTCCTACCTCCACAAGCACTGCGAGGCCGCCTGCGTCAAGGGCGCCGAGCCGCCCCCGCCGCCGCCCGCCGGCCCCGCCAGCTGAGCCGCCCGCCGCCGCCGCCGCCCTCGGGCCCCCCCACCTCCACCTCCGTGTCCTCTCTGCGCCCGGGCAGCGTTCCCCCCCCACGCCCCTCGTGGGGACACCCCCCCCCCCCAAGCCTGGAACGTTTCTCTCCCGCCCCAAGACCCACCACTCCCCTCCGGCACTGGCTACCCCAGCGCGCCCAGACCACCACGTCCTCTGCCCCCCCACCCCCGCCAGACTCGGACCTTGACCCCCTGCTCCCAACTCAGGCACCAGGTCCGCCCCTCTCCCGGGACCCACAGCCCGAATTTTCTTCCGCCCTGACCCTGCACCTGTCCCCTACTTTCAGACTTTTCTTCTCACTTCTCAGCTGAGTCTCTCCTACCATGCCTCTATCCGAACCCCAATCTGAAGCCCAAACCTTTGCCTCTCCACGTCTGTTCTGGTTTCCTCATCCAGTACGCAGGCCCCGCAGCTCCCAGACCACAGTCCCAGCCCAGACCGTCCTTCTGGCCTCTGCCGAGTCTCTCTGTAGCTGTGTCCGTCTAAGGAGCCCATCCTCACCCCTCTTGGAGTCCACGGTCTGTCCCTGATCCCCTCCATACCCTGGCCTTAGGTCCAGCCATTCACAGCGCCCCCGCCCCCCACACACACTGTCCCCCACCCCGGTACCATGCTCGTACCATGCTTGCATACATCTCCCACCCTCTTCGGTCCCAGGGCCTTCTCAACCGCTCCCACCCCCTCCTCTCTCCAGGCCCCCTCATCCCTCCAAGCAGTTCTCACCCCCTTTGTGTTCACCTGACCTGGGGCAGACTTGCGGGGCAGTTCAGGCCCTGCCCCCTAATGTCCTCCTCTTAACCCCAGGACAGCCCCTCCCTGGGCCTCCAGCCTCCAGCTGCCCGCTCCCCAGATTCTCTGAGCACTTTCCCCCACCCCCAGGACTACAGGTGCCCCTCCTTATTTATTGGGGGGAGTCTGGGGCACCTCACAAATGCCCTTCCCGCTGTCTGGCTGGGCCTCTCCAGTTACTTATTTGTGTATTTATTTATTTATCTATTTATTGTTATATTTAATCTCTTGGCCTCACCCAGGGATGGTCTGGCTTCCCCAGCTGGACTGGGAGGTCAGGGAGCCAGGCAAGGAGAGGGACAGCAACCGCCATAGAAAGCTGTCCCACCCCCACCCCACCCGCAACCCCCTCTTGGGGAGTGACGGAGAAGCCTCACCTTCATCAAAGCCTGATCTCTGGGGAGGGGGCACGAGAATGGGAGGAATAGCCTGCTGACCCTCAACTGGGGTGGGGGGGGCGTGTGAGGGATATCAGGAGGTCCGGTCATGGGGCAGGTCCCCACCCTCCTGAGCCTTCCACTCCCACTCCAGGGAGACCGGAGAGGGGAGCCTCCTCGATTTATTTCCTATTTATTCCTCTTCTCGAGGGACCCCAGGTTCCAGGGACCGACTGAGCCCCGGACCCCGCTGGGGACCCCCCCTGGCCTGCTCCGCTCCCGGGAGGAGCGCTCCCTCCCGGCCACGTCTATGCAACTCTCCCGGGCAGAGGGGCCGGGGCTGCCAGCCGCCCCACGTTGGCCGCCACTACCTCCCCCGCCGCGCTTTTGCTTGCCCGGGCGAGGACCGAAGCACACGCCTCCACGCCCACGGGCCCTGGCCCCCTCTGCTTTAAGCACACGCCTCTGCCCCATCACTAGGCGCCCAGCCATGGGGGCAGGAGTCCTGGACTCTCTGACCCTCCCTCTTTCCTCCCAGCTACAGAGGAGGGTGGAGACTGGAGGGGCCCTTGGAGCAGGGGCACTCCTCTAGGGCTTCCCAGCTCCAAGGCCCACCTGGGACCGGAGGCAGCAGGGATGGGGGGAGGGAGAGGGGTCGCCGAAGCAATTACGGAGGGTGTTGACCCTGTAAATAGGAACTTCTGACAGCAATAATTTTCCATGCATGCTAAGCCTTTTGGCCATATTTTGTATGAGCGCTTGGCGCTCCCCCTCCCTCCTCCTCACCCATCTCACCCCAGGCCCCTTCCCTTCCTCACCTCCAGCAGTATTACTACTTGTAACGCAGCAATTCAGGGATATTAAAGGGACTTTGGCCACTCACCAGCGCCTCTAGACCTTGTGATTGGGGTGGGGTGTGGGCAGAAAAGGCATCTGAGAGGCAGCTGGATTTTTTTTTTCTGTTTACATTTTTTTTACATAGTAATCTTGTTTGTTTCATATTAATCTTGTTAATTGCAGCCGGATCTTTTGCACTCCATTTCCCTCCCCTTAGCCTGACCACCCTGAAGCTGCCACAGTGGGGGGGGGGGGGGAGGGTCCCACACCCCAGGGGTCCTTTGACATCCCCAAGGTCCCAAGCATCCTCAGTCCTAAATATTCCTGGGGTCCAAAACTCAAAAGGTTTCAAGAGCCAGATCGATAGCGTGAAAGAAACAGGTCGCTCTGATACATTAGGGAATATGGGAGCCCAAGACTCACCAGAAAAATAACATCTCACCTTAAAGAATTGCAATTCAAGTTAACTATACCTGCCAAACCAATACAACGGTGAGCCCAATTTCTGTCTCTCTTTTTTTTTTTTAATGTTTTTTATTTATTTCTGAGAGAGGCAGTGTGAGCAGGGGAGGGTCAGAGAGAGAGGGAGACACAGAATCAGAAGACAGGCTCCAGGCTCTGTGCTGACAGCTCAGAACCTGACGCGGGGCTCAAACCCACGAACCGTGAGATCATGACCTGAGCCTAAGTCGGACACTTAGCCACCGAGGAGTCCGATTTCTCTCTTGATGGCCAGTTTACAACCCCTATACATTTCCCCACTTCATCCCCTGCTGCTTTGGCCGAGTATCTGGCCAGCCCTACTGATCACACCGGAGCAAGTACAGGCGTGCAACAAGGTCGAACTTGGACTCAGGAAGCCGAGTTATCTCAGGATTGTAAACTGCCCCTGGAGCCAGTGAGCTGTCATCAAGAGTGTTCAGGAATGTGGTGAACAGCCAATCCCTTGTCCTTGCCAGCCAGCTGCCTTGGTGAGCTTTCAAACTACAAGCATGTCCTCACCTTACCAGAAACTTTGCTGGGGACCACCACACCACACCGCCTAACTCGAACCCCCAACAGGTACTCACAGAGAGGCAAGGTCATGTGCTTTGAGGGCTGGATGCCAGGCTGCAGGGTGGACCTCCCTCTCCCCTGGGGCCAGCTTTTGGGATTCCTCCTTTTGTGGGCAGTACACTCAACGTTTAGTACTGGTGCCTGTCTGCCCTTCCCTTCACATACCTCTGGACAAGTGGCTATAATCTGAGCAGTGTGTCTCCAGCCATGAGAACAGTTTGGGCCCCCCCTAAAAAAATCTCCAATGGGGCTTTGAGGAGCCCAGGCACCTGGTGCTTTCCCTAACCAGCCACACAAATCCCTCTGTGGCTACACACTGCTTCTTTCTCTTTTAAATGTCTATTTTTGAGAGAGACAGAGCACAAGCGGGGGAGGGGCAGAGAGAGAGAGACAGAGAGACAGAATCCGAAGCAGGCTTCAGGCCCTGAGCTGAGCACAGAGCCCGAGGCGGGGCTCAAACCCACGAACCGTGAGATCGTGACCTGAGCCTAAGTCAGATGCTCAACCGACTGAGCCACCCAGTCGCCCCCTACCCTGCTTCTAACCTGAGGTTGTGCCAGTTCCATTTATTTCAGACCCCGGGAATAAAATCCACTCTATACCCACATTTTACAAACATCCCATTCCCTGTATTTAATCCCCTTGAAGCAGAAAGTAGTGAACACAGGGAATTGCTGCTGACAAAACTGGAAGGACCAAAGGGCAGAGCCTTCATCCGGACCCCCTAGAACAAGGCTCACTGGAACTACCAAGTTCAGGAACACAGCACTATCGGTGTGACCCGAGGATCAGGAGGCCGCGGCCACCGCCTTTAAACCTGTCTCCTGGGGGCGCCTGGGTGGCTTAGTCGGTTAAGCGTCCGACTTTCACTTAGGTCATGATCTCGCGGTTCGTGGGTTCGAGCCCCGCGTCGGGCTCTGTGCTGACTGCCAGCTCAGAGCCTGGAGCCTGTTTCAGTCTGTGACTCCCTCTCTCTCTGACCCTCCCCTGCTCACGCTGTCTCTCTCTCTCTCCTAGAAATAAATAAAACATAAAAAAATTAAAAAAAAAAAAAAACCTGTCTCCTGTCTCCCACTGTGCTGGTGGCTCGATGCTGGAACACGGTTACAGAACACTTGGTGTCTCCTTGCCTGCAGCAAGAGACAAGGCAATGAGAAAATGGCCCCTGCCCGCTTCTGCCCTCCCAGTTCCACAGGAGTGCATGTAACTGGCGGAACCTAATTCACTGTCATTATCTCGGCTGCAAGGAAGTCTGAGAGTGTAGTTTTTAACTCTCTAACATGCAATACAGAAGGCACCCTAGAGAGGGATGGGAATGGATGCGGGTACCCACTCCCTGTATCCCACCGTTCCCTCCTTGATTGGCGGCCATGCAATTTGGGACCTGAACCTCAGCTTAAGGGGTGGGTGGTCCTGACGGGTTGAAAAGTAATCCTGTCCCCTATGGGCTGATAAATGGGTATGTGGCTCAATGCTGGCCAGTGCAACTTAAGGAGAGGTTGGTTCACCGGAAGCTTTCGGGAAAGTTTGCTTTTCCCTCTCCTGTAAGAGAAAGGAAGCCACGTCTCTCTTCTCCCTGAACATGAACGAGGAAGCATATCGTCTTGTGACCATGAAGGGAACTGGCCTTAGCGTGAAGCCCACCCCCACTGGATGGTGAAGCAGGGAGATAAAAAAAAAAAAAAAAAAGCTTGGGGCACCTGGATGGCTCAGTCGGCTAAGCGTCTGGCTTCAGCTCAGGTCATGATCTCACGGTTCGTGGGTTCGAGCCCCGCATCGGGCTCCGTGCTGACAGCTAGCTCAGAGCCTGGAGGCTGCTTCAGATTCTGTGTCTCCCTCTCTCTCTGAGCCTCCCCTGTTCACGCTGTCTCTCTCTCAGAAATTTAAAAAAACAAA